TTAATTTAATCTTAACAAAAGTCTCTGAGGAAGGTAAGGCATGCATTAACTTCATTATTTGGCAGACTCAATGAGTGCTACTAAGTATCAGAGCAGGAATAGAACTCAGAAATTCTGATTCCTAGTGGACCACACATATCTAATATACCAAAAGGTGAGTGAGAATTTTAAAAAGACTAACTTTTGAATTGAATATATCTGCTTCAGTGTTTACCTTCCAAAGATGTTTATGGCCGTTGACATACAGAGTAGAAGCAAAGATTCAGAGAGGACAGGTTAGAACATGGCCCACTGAATTTCATGTGCTTAACCTTTTGGTCCATTTAAAAATATTTCCTTAGTTTTTAATCTGTTATGCATATTTAAATATAAAAAAGGGGAAGAAATAGCTTTACTAAAATAGCATGAGGTTAAAATAATTTTTTGAAGTTTAAATTCTTAATGGCCATTTATCCCAAATTACTCAGCTTAGCATGTCTTACACATTTTAGTAAAGTAAAGATAGTTTCTAGCATCTGAAATTCAATCACTGAGCTGTCAGGGATTCATACGGCCTTTTTCATGTATATAATGAAACATGTAAAACAAGAAGACTTGCTGACCTAGGACTTACGTTCATGGTGTAATTGGGAATAACAACTGACTTTCAAGAAGTCAGTGGAAGAATCAGAATAAGAACACACCAGTCCTAAGCTGGCTAGTCACAACACATATATATGCAGCTTTAGAAGGTAAAATAATGCCATCTCAGCAACCTGGTTGGACCTGGAGATTGTGATACTAAGTGAAGTAAGTCAGACAGAGAAAAACACCATATGATGTCACTTACATGTGGAATTTAAAAAAGGACACAAATGAACTTATTTACAAAAGAGAGACAGACTCGCAGACATAGAAAACAAACTTATGGTTACCAGGGGAGTCCTGGGGGTGGAGGGATAAATTGAGAATTTGGGATTTGCAGACACTAACTACTAAAAATAAAATAGATCAACAACAAGGTCCTACTGTATAGCACAGAGAACTACATTCAGTGCCTTGTGATAGCCTGTAATGAAAAAGAATATGAAAAGTAACTGAATCACTATGCTGTACATCAGAAACTAACACAACATTGTCAGCCCAACTGTATGTCAATTAAAAAAAAAGGTGATATCTAAACGAATACGTGTATGTAAACGCATGACTGGGACATTGTGCTGTACACCAGAAATGGACACATTGTAACTGACTGTACTTCAATTAAAAAATTAATAATAATTAAAAAAGGAGAAGGCAGTGTCTACTAGGACTACTCAGTAATTTCCATGTTACACTACCACCACTTCCTGACCCTCACCAGGGCTTAGATACTTAATTTTCACCAATCTGACAAGTGCAAAATTGTATCTCATGATTTTAATTGAAATTTCCCTAGTTACGAATGAGTTTGAATACGTCTTCCTCTGTTTTTCCGGGTGAGGAGGGCGGGGAGAGAGAACTGTTTCCTCTTCTTTGAAACGCCTGGAAGTCTCTTCCTGACAGTTTGCTTGTCCTTTTCTAGTTGACTTACAAAGTTCTTCATTTAATCTAGATATGAATCCTTTAGAGGTTTTATGTACTACAAGTATCTTCTTGACTCTTTCTTTTGAACAGCCACATGCTAGCCTATTAATATGAGTTATCAGACTTCATTTAATTAGTATTCCATGGGTTGACTCATATATTGTTTTCTTTCTTTACTATCATTACAGGCAACACTATAATAGCTGCCACTGTTGGTGTCATTTCACACACGTGTAAGCATGTGTGCAGGATGAAGTCCTCAAAGTAGAATTGGTGGGTCAAACGGGATGTGAAGTTTTAGTTTTGAAAGACTGTGCCAAACTGCTCTCCCTAAAAGGCTGGAATAATTTATACTCCCACCAGAAATCATGTGAGGCACCGACTCCCCGCTTCTCTTACACGTGAGAGGCAAAAACGAACAAACAAACACTCTACCTTCGTTAAGTTTCAACGCCCACTGTCTTATTATGAATGCAACTGAGTATCTTTTCATGTTTAAGAGCTATCTAATATTCCTATTTAAAAAGTGGCCTGTAGAATTTCTAAACCTAATGTTATTTTTAAATCCTGTTCAAACAGTTCCCTTCCAGCACAAGAATCTCTCAAGGACAGGCTCTACCTGAGCATAGTTTCGGATGGTTTCATGATCTTCATTTGCTGAAAACACACAGTGGTTGGTCATCTTTGTCTTGTCACCATCATCTATGCGTGTTCCTCCAGGGGCTGAAGAGGGAAAGGTAATTACCATTAGGACAATACTAAAATCAGAAAAACATCTGCAGAACAGACCGATTCCTGCACAGCAAGGAAAACAATAAAAGCAGATGTCAGATAAACGTTCATAGAATGATGTGCATGTGGAGACACACAGAGTTTTTAGAAGATTATTATCTTAATAAAATTTTGTTCCAGGTGATTGTATTTATTCCAAAGGACTAATTAAATCTTGTGCATAAATTAATGGCATGAAAATAGACTCCTGGAGGAGCTGACTCTTCTAAAAACAAATTTACTTATAAAAGATGCATACGTGTTGCTATGATTTGATTACATTTCTAATATAATGCAAATTGGTTGTTCAATTTTCTCCTATCATCGTGTATGAGACTGATGTTCTACACTCTTGCCTTCACAAGATCCTATCACTGTAAGTCTCGTTCTTTCCAAAGTACATCCTTAACCATGGAGGCTAAACAGTAACATTTATTCAGTGAATTTAATTTAATTATTCTCAGTGCAGTTCCTAATGTTTCCCACATCAGGACATGGCTCACTTTCCAGGCTTGGTAATATTTTGCTGGACTGCAGTTCACCAACCCTGGACCTGACCGGACCTGGCTTTCACAGTAGATCTTGTTGGTTTCTACTTCGGTAGGTATGGAAACTGTGCATACCTCTTCCACCAACCCAGGTACCCACACAGGGTTGAACAGCATACACTCTGACTCCTTGCCATTTGTATTTGATCACCCAGCAGGTACACTGGCTAGGAAAGCATGTATTTCTGTCCTCTCTCATCTTTTTACCCTGTGGCCTATACAGTAGCATGGAATAAGTGGATTAGAACAAAAGAAGGCCTGTCTTCAGTGACTCAACTTCCCTCATTCAAAGGCTCCTCCTGTATGTTTCAATGGTGTCCACTGCAAAGTTCATTGGTTCATCAGAAGAGCAGGGTCAGAACACTAGGAATTTTTGTTTTCTGATTTTACTTCGTCATAATTAGGGTAGAAGGTTTGAGAAAGCCAAGTTAGATTAGTATCTATGCTACACTCAACAAATATTTGTAGACTATTTACGTGTACCAGCCACTTTGTTTATTTTAGTGTATAACTGCCTTGATTTAAGGCTGATTCAGATCTTTGGATGAAGTGGGCTACACACAGCCAACTTTTTTCAGACTCCAGCATACAGTTTTATAAGTAAATTAGTTTTTAGAAAAATCAACTTCTTCAGGACTCTGTTCTCTTGTAATTAATTTATGCACAAGATTTAATTAGCCCTTTGTAATGAATATAACCACCTAGAAAAAAATTTTATTAAGATGATAATCTGCTAAAAACTCTGGGCTAATGATTCCTATTTGACAGAAGTTATATAACTAAAGAGTCTGATTTTGAAATTACAGTCTTTTCTCTTGAGGTAAGATTTAAAAATTGCATTCTTTCACAAAACAAAACATTTGTTACACATTAATAATCTTACTTACAGCTCACATTTAAAATTTTGTTCCTTGATATTGGGCCCAAGTATTAACTGTCATTTCTAAAATTTTTGGCGATCCTGTTCTTTTCCTTAGAGGTAAAAGAAAAGTAAAATAGTACTTGTGTCTACTCTTCAAAGGGCACAACTGAACCAAGATGGCTGCTGTTTCAAGAACAGTGGGAGAAGGCAGATATTGCTGTGGGTATGAGGAAAATTCTTACATACTCCATAAGTAAACAGTGTTTATATAAAAAGAATGCTTTTGGCCCACTTTATTTATAACAGCATAGGTCTGGCCTCGGTAGACATCTGGGGTTGTACTGCCTGTGCTCATAAGCTGTACCAAACGTTCTGCCCAACCCTATTGTGGATGTACGTGGCGTGAAGGAGTGAAATTGAGGCTACAGATATAAATTTGGTGATCGTCATCATAGGGATGGTAAATGAAGACTTGAGATCATCAGTACAGAGTGTACCAATAACTTACAATGCATGTAGGTGGATAAGAATGGAAACCTAGGAGTCATGTAACAAGTGGCATCTAGAGAGGTAGGAGGGAGTCCAAATGCTCTCACATAAGGCAAGAAAGTAAAACATTTCAAGAATAACAGCAGGGCCAACAGTGCTGCCAGGAAGGCACTAAAAACTGAAGAGGGTGCACTGGATTAACTA